TGATTGATTAGTTAAGGGGGAAACCTGATAGTTGAGCGTGATTTCATTCAAATCGCCTCCTTACACAGCCATTGACTAAGTAACATTACTCCCTTACTGTGAAATGAATCTAAATAAAGCCATTCATGAGTTGTAGTAGTGCAGGCTATTTAATAATTATTTGATGCGGAAAAATCTTTAAATCTGTTTTATTTAGGGTATGACTACGAGACAATAAAGTTTCGAAATGCCTTCTAAATATTGCCTTTAATATAACACCATGATTTCTTGCCTATCCGTATTGTTTCTTTTTTCAGATCTGCTTCGAGTTTGTTTAGTTTATGCATGTACGTATGTATGTATTTAATAGTCATTTGCATTCCATTTGCTAAATACAAAAGAAAAAGAAAAGAAAATGTTAGAAGGGATGATAGTGGCAGAAACAAGGGCGTCTCCTAGACAACGCCAAGGTCGGAGCCAACCCCAGCGACGGTTATACATGGGTCACCTGATCAATCTATATCCCACACTATCTTGTGCAACATTATATAATATACTTTTATATTATACGTTATAGTAATTATAACTACACTTTTAATTATATTAACTTTTTCCAATTTTACGTTGTATTGAATATGATCAACAGGCTGAGTTCAAAATATAGTTAAGTACTATTGATTAAAGCCAAGTTACTAAATATATGAACCATCAAACTTAAAAATCGATCCAGCTATTCCATCAAAACATCGTTACGTAACTTTTTGCAAATCGATTACACACATTTTATTCTATCAAGAGGCGGTGTTTTAGCTCACCTTGTTTCCAAATATTCAGATGATCTCGCCGAAATATTTGAACCATCAAACTTAAAAATTTATCGAGCTATTCACTTAAAAAATCGTTATATAGCTTTTAGCGGACTGCCCGAATACCTATAATCCTCGTGTCGCTTGGCTTAGTCGTGTGTAAATATCGTGTTGTTTATATTTTTCTTAATATGAAGTCACAATGATCCTAATTGTATTAAAATTTGAAAAGGATATACCTGATCAGGGGTGTACGCAGCTTTCACATTAAGGGAAAACTGAATTAAGAAAATCTCTGGTAGATAAACGATTCCATACTCAATAATATTATTCTAAATAGTTTATTACTATTACAATTTATAAATATATTTATATGAAACACAATTTATACATACATAGAATAATAATTTTTAAAAAGTATTTTCCTTGGTTTTCGAAAAAAAAAACTTTTATAACCTCTTCTTTCAAATTATTTAGGGGAGGGAGGGGGGGAAGGCTCTCTTTCTCCCCCGCATACTCCCATGTGATGCTTCATATCAAAGACTGACATCTGTCATTTTCAGAAAATGGTGAAAAAGTCAATTTGTATTTTATACTCAGAGTCAACTAAACTCATGCTGTTTTTGATGATTTTATTTAAGAATGTTCAAGTTGAATCAAAAAAAAAAATCGAAGAGAAGGATGGTTGGGGTGATGAGTCAAAATAAAACTATCAAAAATAAATAATAATATTTATTTTTACATTTGCCGACGTTTCGGCCCGAAATTCCAGCCTTCGTCAGGGCTAAGAAAAGAACCAGATAACAATAGGTATGAGAAAATATAAACATTGAACAATAAAGAATTAAAATTAGAAAAGGTGAAACGTATAGACTAAAAAATGTAGGTAGAAAAAACTTGAAGTAAAAGGAAGTTGATAGAGTGAACATTAAAGTAAAATAAAGTAGGTAGAATAATAAAAGGAACAAAGCACGGACAAGTTTGGTAAGTTACACACTTGTAAATTGTCTGATTATATTCTTTGCTTTCGAGATTTAAATTGGATTTTGAAAATATTTTAATGAGATTAATTAATAACAATTAATACTCAAAGTACAGTCACACGTTGATACCATTCTTTGGGATGGCTGTCAAAGAACTCTTGGACCGCAATTTTAACTTCGTCAAAATTATCAATTTTTTCCCCTTGAAAAAAAAATAGGCCATGGCTCTAAATAAGTAGTAATCCAATGGTGCGAGGTCTGGACTACATGGTGGATGAGGCAGGAGTCTTATATCAGAAGGGTTTTTGCAATAAATTTTCACAAATTTTTAAACTCTTAGCTGATTGCTGAGGAGTAAATTTGTGAGGGACCAGTCTACTGCTCTTTTTCGTCTTCTCCGTGGAGATTAGATGGCGACTAACGGAATCATTCGACACAACACACTCCCTGCAAGTTCGCGGGCACTCGTGCCCGGATTTGGCTTAACAGCTTCCTGTAGAACCTCATCAATATCCATTAATGGTCGCCCGCAGACCTTTTTCCTTCCCAACGTCTTATCTCAACTGCTAAATTTTTTAAACCAACGCCGCGCAGTGCGCTGGTCAAGGGCGCCTTCTCCTTCATATTTAATAATTCACGAGCTGCTTCAGCGGCTGTGATTTTGTTTTTTTGTTTTTCTTTTTTCAGTAATGCCTTAAAATTACTATAATTTCGTAGAGCACTGTCATGATTCTTCTTTGAAACAAATAACTAAACTGGGGCTTTTATTGAAGAAATCGAATAGGATTATTAAGTATTGTTGAGTATTAAATAGGATTAAAATATTTACAATCCTTTGAAATCTTTAATTTGATAAAATGGTCATTTTTTTTTTATACACTCTATTACTACCTCATTAGACAACCCATTTCCGTAACTTGTAAGTTCACTCGCGAAGTTTAAGACGAGTCTTAATAATTTGTATTGAGATTTGTTCATGTAAGATTTTTATTTTACAGGTTACATAAACCGACACTAGGTTAATTGTGCCTATGAATAAAGTTTAATAAAATAATATATATATATATATATATATATATATATATATATATATATATATATATATATATATATATAAGATTAGAGAGAAAGAATAGGTAGGGCCCAATGGAGCAGTTAGTGTTGATGGGATGATGAGTGGAGATTGTCTTTCATCAAGGGACCGCTAAGAACTAGATACTACCTCCTCTCTCTGGCGGCCGCCAACTTCGGGGTGAACACCCTATTCTAGGTAACTCCGACACAGCTTCCATTTCATCATCAAATATTTCAAAGAATCGACTAATTGAAGACAAATATACCAAAAATAAGATGTCCGGAAACGTCGGTTGTGATGATCGATTGGTAGAGGAAGCACGTGTGCGCCACGGGTCAACGTTTTTTAAATCGATACGATTACAATATTTAAACGCTTCTTCTTCTTTATCCAACCATTATCCCTCACGGTATCGGGGAAACATCTATCCATATCAGCATTGGATTTAAAGCCTCCTGTTTATGTAGTCATCTTTGTCTTTATCTCTATTTTCTTTTTGTTGCTCTGTTCCACATTTAAGCATATATAAGAGCCACATATCCTTAGAACCACTTTTAAGCCCGACCATATACTTAGTTTATTCTTGGTTAATAACGATTCCATTTTGGTTCAGATATTTCTCCCACGCATCTAGTACTCTCTTGCTGGACTCCTCTTTATCCGCGGTACAGACCACGTTTTTAGATTACGATAAAATGAAGCAAATTTCACAAATTTTTAGACGGGTGTTAATGATTTGATAAAAAGAGGTCTATACCGCTGACTATCACTTTGATTATGAAGCTGCAAATCGAGCAACGAGTGCACCTCTAACGCCCTCCAATCTTGAATATAGGATAAGCCATGATTCATTTATTATATATAAAAAAAAAGCATAAATGCTTAATATAGAGGAAAAAATATGTTAATTTTATTTAGCTCCTAAGGTCTTAACGACGATCTTATCCACACTCCATACCCTCCCACTGAAAAAAATCTTGTTCTGTAGATGACACTTCAGCTGTGAAATGAGCTTTCTATGAGAAAAACCTTTGCAATAAATGTTTTAGTAACCTCGTATGTGAGTAATTTGCTAAATCTCATATTTTATTTTGTTTTTAAAACTTCACCATGATATCAAAGAAACTTTCGCGAGACCGACTGGAGGTACTTGGGTAGGTTGAAGACCCTTGTTCTATTCCTCCAACTTTTATTCCTTTGATACAGTGCTTCTCTTTTCTTTTACTGTCCGTTTCGTTTCTGTACTGTTACTTCTATTCCGGGATGCCCTCCCAAAGGTCGATGGCGTATGAACCTTTTCCCACTCCTCCCAAGATAATTTATTGCTCCACTCTTCTTAAAACAGTACAAGTAAAATTTAAAAAAAAAAATTAGGTTATATACAATTACACATCCTGAAGTCTGTTCGATATTTTCTGTTATCTTTTAATTTGAAACTTTTCATTTCGCAAATTCATAACCTCGTCATAGTATGCTCACCCCAAAGTTTTAAAACCTCATCAAAATTTGCTCCTCAAAAAATTTTATGGAGCAACTTGCCCCATGAGAACCCCACCCCGTCTGGACACTTTTGGAGCTGAGAGAGGTTCAAGGGTATCCTGTTTTGCAGCATCATGCCACAGTGATCTCCTGCCCATCTCTTTTCCCCACCATACCTCCCAAACACACTGTTATTTAGAGTTTTTAGATATTTAATATTAGCATAGTAATAAATATGTAAATTAGTCTATATTTGTTTCTGTGAGTGATCCAAGCAACCACAATATGTATTTTTTTAAAATTATAACGCCTATACAACTACTATACATAAGCACTTGTCATGAAAATATTTTAAAAAATTATATCTATAAGCATTGTTGTTCCTGTAATCACCTTCTTTTTTTTCAATCATCACTCGAACATGATTTTATTTAGTTTCTTTCTTTTTCTTCCCGAGTGATTATAGTCATATATACAGTCATCTGAAGCAACAACTTCCTTGGGATGTGTTTTCATTTCAATTGGCTGAATGACCCATCTGCCAATCCTACATTTATTTCAATTATACATCATTTTCATATTTTTAATTTAATTTTAGTTTTTTTTTATGTTAAACTTTGGTAATGTTTTTTTTTTTCTTTCCATTATTCATTATTAATGATCCTCTTCGTTTTTCAGTCTTTTCAAGGAAGTCAGGGACGAGCTTATCTATTCAATTCAGTGTAAGTTTTAAAATATCATATTAATTTTTTTTTACTATTTAGTTGTAACTATTATATAATTTTTTAACTTTAATTAAATGTTTTAGTTTTTAAATATCAATCAATTTTATTGACAAAGTTCAATTTTTATATACATTGCAAATTATTTTATTTATTAATGCTGTATTTATTTATTTATTTAATACTGTATATTTGTATATTAGTTTTAAGCATTGTCTAATAATGATTGATAAGTATGCTGTGTTAATCATTTTATGAAGATAAAGTGATTCTCTCTATTATTATTTATATCCTTAATTTGATCCAATTAAAATACAGATAAAAGCATAAGTTCATATATACTGATAATGAGTTACTGTATCAGTATTCCATTTGTATGATACACATTTTGAAGTAGGGATTCTTAAATTATTGTAGTTCGATGACACATTCTTGAACAAGCATTTCTTTTTTTGTAGAACCCATCTTTCAAAAATAATAACCCATGATTAATTAAATAATAACAAATACATAAGGTCTTAACCATGTTGAATGTTTATTTGATGGAGTTTTTGAATAAAAATGAGAAGTTGAAGGATGTAAAGTTAATGTCAAAATTGTTTTGCGAATCCCCAGCCATCCGTAAGCCAAAGTTCAAGAACTTATCTTTTAAAGCCATTAGCCGAACCATCATTTATTCAGGTTTGCCCTTAAGATTAAAGTTAATAAAATTCTCCCCTTTTTAATATTTATTTTTAATCTGCAATTAAAAATTAAAATTTTAAATTGATTTTCGCCCTTTAATTATTCATTTAAAATGTAATGGACATTAAACTGTTCATTATTGCAACAATTTCAAAAAGCAGATACTTAACCTCTTTGTTCAGAGCCCTTAATTAAAAAGATTTTGAAAATTGGATTCCAAATATTTTAAAAATCTTTTTATGGATTAGAGTAATAATTATTTGGTATACATAAAACTTTATTGCGATCATATAATGATCTTCTAAAAGTATGATACTAATTCTGATATTATATAAAATTACTTTTAACATATTGAAAATGTTTAAATCTGGAACTATGTTTCAATATATGATAATAAAGTTGTATACATGCTACAAAGGAAATACAATCCTACACAGGAAATCTTAATGATGGTTTCCTTTTCATTGTCATATGCATCTATATTTATAGTGACTTAAAACAAATATTATTCACATAATTTTTAATTTTCTGATTTTTACTTTATTTTTTATCTTGTTCATCATAAAAATATTTTGTGTGTAAAAATGTGTTTGGAGACAACATTTTTTTCCAATTATTTATTATTTATATGATATTTACAACTGTATAAAAAAAATACATCTAGTAAATTCGTACATGGATATAATGACATGAAACACATGTTGAGAAACTACCTATTGGTAGTATCACTGTAATAATATGTCTAAATTAGGAGATCATGGAGTCACCTTCTTTTCAAATGCCTCGGAGGATTATCAGGAATTGAATAGGAAGCAAGGTTAGAAACGAGAGGATTGGGATGGTTATGAAGTTTATTATGGAAGGATAGATATCCGGATTGGGCCAAATCTGATAAATAAGGAACATTAAGGTCATTGTGGATGATTTTATTTGTAACAAAGTAAGGAGTATTGAGGATTTTATGAAGGATTTTGGATTGTAAGGATTGGATACAAGAGAAATTTGAAGGTTTGTTGGGGTCCCATAGCTCAACACCTGAAGTCCAAATAGGCTTTATTATAGTCATGTATATGAGTCTTTTGTAATTAATTGGAAGGTTAGAGCGTTTGTCTAGTAAGTGTTGAAGTAGTCGGAAACGCCAAGTGGTTTCTTGTCGTTTCAGTCTGGTATGAAGATTCCAAGTTAGACTTTTGTCCAGGTGGAGTCCTAGGTAACGGATTTGTTCAACAGGAATAAGTTACAGGAAGTCATTGGTTTACGACTTTCCAATTCTTAAAATTATATTGTTTTTTTTTGTTGATTTGTGGAACAGTAATAAATCTTTTGTATTAATGTTTTTATAATATGATATTTTGTAATGATTTGTATTTGTATAATTGAGCTATGGAAAAAAAGCCATGAAATGATAACCATATTATTTTCTGTAGTCATTTTAACATTTCTGTACCCCAGTGATAAAAAACACCGTGTCCATTTCTGTATTTGTTCAGGGAGCCAATGTTCCATAACTTTGAGATATTAAAATTTGTTTCTTAGTTACTAAATTATTTAATAAAAAAATGGACATGGTGTCCTTTACACAGATATGGATATAGGAGTATGGACAAAATTAATTTACACACAATGAATTTCCCCCACTGAAGAAAATAATTGTTACTTTAAAAATAAACCCTTTTTTTTTTACATCTCTATCATTTTTCTGATCCAAAATTTTTGAGATTGATCTATTTGATGCAAGATTTTTGTACATAACTAAACATGTGTGAAAAATTAAATTATATTTTTGATTGAAAAAAATGTATAACATCGGTTTATTATAAAAAGTCATTAACTGGCATTTTGCGGAAACTACTAAGAATGATAAATTTACCCTTTTTGAAATAAAAACCTCATACTCTTGTTGTAATTATATATGATATATAAAAGAGTTTGTGTCATATTGGTGCAGTTATTGTGTCTTTTTATTCAGTAAGTTCAGATCCATCAAAAATTTACTTTGTACCTTTTTTCAATAAAATGACGATATACTTAATGAGTTTCTGATAAACCATTTTTTCTATAACAGCGCTACTTCATGTTATGAAATATTATTATTATTTTCATCATGAAAGTCGCAAAGTAATTTTTCAGTGATCTGAATTTCTGAAAATCATTATTTACTCATAGTGACTACCAACACTCATAGTCTGTGGTACAGACTCCCTTTTATCAAATTATTATCATCCTGCTGAAACTTCGTAAATAGCTTCATCTCATCGTAACCTACAAATATTTTATTAATGACAATTCTCAGAATTGGGGCATTTTTAATCTAGAGATTAGCAAACTTTGTCTATTTAATTAAATACTAAAAACTCATAAATACCCATTTGCTTTCCACTTGAATCTTAAGGTAATTTGATCACAAAATCGATAAAAAAGGTGTCCTACAAAAATATTGGGCTGTTTGGTCTATATAACATCCTTATTTTGACAATATGGGGGTGTAGGTCACGCCACATGGCTCAATAATAATTTTTAAGGACATCTTTTTTTCCTGACTTTTTGCTCAAGTTATCTTACGATTCAAATGAAAAATAAATGGGTATTTATGAGTTTATAGTACCTAATTAAATAGAAAAAGTTTGCTGACATCCAGATTGAAGACGCCCCAATTCCAAGAATTTTTGTAAATAATATATTTGTAGATTACGATGAGATGAAGTTATTATTAGTTTCAACCGGATGTTAATAATTTGATAAAAAGGGGTATATATACATGTATACATGTACAAGAAATTCCTGAAAAGTGCGGTGCATGTATTGATATATATATATATATATATATATATATATATATATATATACATGTACAAGAAATTCCTGAAAAGTGCGGTGCATGTGTTGATATATATATACATGTACAAGAAATTCCTGAACAGTGCGGTGCATGTGGTGGACAGTAAGGAACTTCCGTCCAGGAGGAAGTGGACGGAGGGGAGGAAGAAAAAATTTAGCGATATCCTCAAGCAGAGATGGGCAGAAAAGAGAAAATTGAAAAAGAAACCAGTTTCATAGTTGCGTAGTCCTTCAGGGCTGTTTCGTGTCAAATGGATATATATATATATGTATGTATATATTCACATGCTCAATGTTAGATTAAACATTCTTTAATAGTTATGTTAAAACTGTGGTTAATATGGATAATTCACAAATTAACAACTGAGAAAGAATGCTTTATTTAACACAGAACATATTTTTAATTTTATACTTTTTATGAGAAGGTTATAACATAATATATGTGTTTAAATTATAGATGAAATAATTAAATATGTTGTGATGGTTATGTACTTTGTCAGTCACCACATAATATTCAAATTTTTATATTAATGAGTAATATGTACAAGCTTACGGTGCATTTAGATATTTCATAGTGTTTTTGTTTCTTTTTTTTTTTGGATGTTTATCATCAGCTGTCGGCAACAAAAGAAATAAAATTTAAAAAAGTTTGGATTAGAGCTAATGTCACTGTTAGTTAAATTAGATAACTTTTATTTCCATAGTTTGTGAAATATATAAATGCACCTTTACATTTCTCCCATCCTCTCCATTTACTAACTTATAACAAAAAAATGTATATGCCCATTATAATATCTTATTGAATTACTTATAATGTTTTAAAATCCATAAAACCTATTTTAGTTTATAATTTATTTTAATTTCAGGGTGAATGTTGGTTGTGGCCCAGCAGAGGAGCGGGTTCTCCTCACAGGCCTTCATGCTGTCGCTGACATTTATTGTGAATGCTGTAAAACAACCCTCGGCTGGAAATATGTTAGTATATAACTTATTCAATTTTATTTTTCTTTATTTCAAATTAATTTATATATTTTCTATCTCATTTTTTAGGAGCATGCCTTTGAATCGAGTCAGAAATATAAGGAAGGAAAATATATTATCGAACTGGCACACATGATCAAGGAAAATGGGTGGGACAATTAATCTATCCACAGCTTTTCCGTGGAAAATATCAGAGTGCAGACCTACTATTTGAGAAGTGAACTTGGTCAAGGATCAAATGAGTGTTTTAGTTTTAGATAAAGAATGACAGAGTTTTACATAAGCCCTTTATCCATTATTTTCTTATATATATATGAAATTTGAATATACAGTGCATAATATATTAACTTATTCAGTATTATGTTTCAACGAGATCAAATCAGTTTGTATTAAGAGGAAAACTTATTGAAAAAGAGACAAATTTGAGAAATTGGCAATTTCTCCGTGGTAACATAATATTATGTAAGTTTAAACAAAAAAATATATTAGACATTTTTTAACTAATTGATTATTGTATATTATTGCTCAGGAAGCACAATTTTAAGTGTTTAACTTATATAAATGTAGTTGATAGTCATATATGCTGGTTGTGTGTGACAATTGTAAATATATTTTATATTGTAAAAAATAAAAGAAAATAATCCAAGTGAAGAGCAAATCTGAACATTATGACATTTGTATTTCAACTTGAGTTTTTTTTTTAAGTGTTCACACAAAACAAAACAAAAAAAAATTAAGGCTGCACTCTGTTTCTATATATAAACTTTTGTAATATATAGAATAATATAAGTGATTAACTAACAATCATTGTGTTGATATGTTAATCTTGGCTTGTTATTTAGAAGGAACTTGATGTTAATATAAATTTATTTGTGTGTGTATCATTAAAATCATACAACATGCAGGATTCCTTCCATTTTTTTTTTTTTTTAAGAAAAAAAAGAGGAGAAAATGTAGCAAGGTTTAACTTTGCGACTACCCAGTTTTTGTCCCTCATGATTTTATTGGGGTTTTTATTCATTGATAGAGGGTGAATATGATCTCAGAACAGTCAAGGTGAATATCGAAAAATAATTCACTATTTATTTTTTATTTTTTATCTTTTTAACTGTGCTAAACTTGTTTCTTCAAGAAATGTGCTCCTTTTAGATATATTAAAAAAAAAAAACACATTTCTTCCCTGAATATTGTTGAGAATTTAGACTGAAATCTGGTTACATCTTTTAAATTACTTGATTTTACAACAAATTAGAGGAGTCATAATATATCATTCATAAAAAAAATAAATAAATAAAATGTATCGATGTTATTAATTTTTTTAAATGTCATTTGTCTCATTAATGTTGAATTAATATGTAGATTGTCATAAATATTGTTTAGGATGATAGAAAAGTCATTACAAAAGTGAAATATATTTTTTTATGATTCTGAATGTAGTTTTGATTTGCAATGTTTTGGATTAAGATGAAGCATAATTCGAGGAAGACATTAAATTTTTTTTTAATTTACAAAGGTGTGTACTTAATTAAGTTTCAATCTAATAAGATTAATTATGTGTATATTTTATTTCATTTTCTCTAGTCTTTGTAAATACTTTTTAAGTTTTTTTTTCTAGTTGCCAATATAATTTGCTTTATATTTTTTATTCTTTTGTACGTTTAAATTTGTAAACCTAAAAATGTTAATGTATGTTGAAAAGAAAAGGTTTATGTGTTGTGTATATATATATTGTTCAGAGAATGAGTTAGAATTGCATCTGCTGGATAATTTAGCTGGTGCCTGAATGTTTTAGGAGGACCAAAATAAAAATTAAAAAAATATATAAAAAATTAAAAAATATATGTGAAATTTCTTTTATACATGAATAAATATGTCTCTATGCATAATGTACATGTAATAAATAAACATCTATTACCTTCATTATCTTCATTGTATTTTTTCAAGAGGAGGTTTATGAGTACAATTATAACATGAAACCTTGAATAAAAGGGAAAAAAAAAAACAAGTTCAGGTTTTGGATATTTTTGTTATTTTTATTTGATTACAAGTTTCATCAAAAATGTTTATGGATATTTCTTATTGATGAGAATTTGTAGGTGATTGATAATGTGTCATAAACCTTCTTTTGTAATAATTTTTATAAGAAATTCAAAAATTCAAAAAATAAATATAATGTATTGTTTCGAAGGTGTAATATAAAACTTTATTACACAGGCCTATTTATATATTTGTATGTTGTCTTAGAAAATTCCCTGCAAGTATCATCGTATATTTACCGTTTTGCAGGAGTGGTTCTAGTAAAACATGTATTAGCTATTAAACTTGTGATAAAAAGTTATATTTAAGAAAAAAGAAAAGAAAAAAAAAGGCTATACGTAACTATAGTCTTTGCTCTTTTACCTATTTTCTCAAAGATGTGTATTATGTTATTGTTAACACATGTCTATCAGTAATGCTGTAATAGTTGCTAAAGCGAAATGCTTCAAATAGATATTTATAAAAGAATACATGTCTTTAGTCTTTCAGTATAATCATTTGTAAATCAAATATTCCTACAATATTATCTTTCCAGTTACAAAGAAAAGTTAAACATTTTTATTTAAGCTAATGTACTAAGAAATAGATTTTTTTTTTCTAATTTCTACCACAAATGTACCATTGCCTCATTTAGTTCTATTGTGCGCTGTCTTAACCCTGTTAAACATACCAACAGCCTTTGGGAATTTGTAGATGCAGAATGCTCTTTATAATCATAACTAACATTTAACTAACATAGCCTGTTCAGATTAACAAAGATAAAATTTAAAAGTGATGGGAAAATTGCACAACAAAAATATACTTATTATCAGTGAAACATAAACAAATTGTAAACTAAAATAATATTTCTGAAAATGAAAAACAATATATGTTGAGTCTCTGATTTGGTTGATAAAGATAATGTCTGATGTTACAAATTCCTTAAAAGTACCAAGCTTCGATAGTCAATGTTGTATTCATTCGTCCACTCCATGTAAGTATTAAATGTCTTTATGATGTTTCTATGACTTATCTATAATGAAAATAAAAAGAGTTTAAAGAAATTTTCCAGTGAGATAAAAATTAAAATACTGTTTTTTAAATTATCAAGTCAACCTTTATTGGCATTAGAATCTGCTTTGTCATCCTTTTTAAAAAAATTATTTAAAAAAAAAAACAGCTGTTTTCGCTAATATAATCTTACAAATTGGACACTCTCTTGATCTCTGATGATCTATAATAATAATAATCTTTTATTTATTCTGGGACGAATCCCTTTAGAATAATTAGCAAGGACAGAAATGTGGGATTTTGAGCCTCAGATATGTATAAATGTATTTACAAAGTAAACTAATAGATATAATAGAAAAAAGAAAGTTATCTTCTAACTTAAATCGAGTAAGAAGAAAAAAGAAAATAAATAAATGAAAGAACAATGAAATGAACTAATAATATGGATCGAATAATAAAAGATTTATCGAAAGCAACAGTTTGGTGGGCCATTATATAGAAATCTGAAGACTGAGTACGGGTATTGCGGGAGTGAACAGACAATTTAAATTGAAGGAGCTCGACGATGTATGAAAGACGGCGGGAGGGATACACATAAAGAGATACCTCAGCTTTTGGATGACCAATGTGTTTGATGTTTTAATGTTTTATTTTTGTAGTTACACCACAATACGATTTTGACACTATCATATGTAGTATTTCCAGTAATATGTACTGAGAAACAGAGCCATCTCCATTCCCTATCCCGTCAGTCAACTTGAACTTTTTTTCTTTCTTGTTCGGAATACCAGAGGTTTCGGATTATCGAGACTGTTCTGTACTGTTAGGATCAGTTTAGGTCTAAATAGAGTGTATGAAGCAGTATACTTTGGCTGAAATAATAATCACTTATTATGGTTGAATATTATGCGATTATTAAAACAAAAAAAGATGGAAAACATTGTTAACGAAAACAAAAATTATTTTCAAAAATAATTAAAATTTGCTCATAAAAACCAATTAAACTTATCTACAAATAATTGCAAAATTATTTATACTTTTTAGAACTGTATATATTTATTAAATATTAATTACTGTATATATAACAAAGGAGCAGTCCCAAACCAAAATGATTGATCACAAACTGATCTTGTGAAACTTAATAAGTGAGTGGTAAATTAAATAATTTATTTAATAAATACATAAATAAATATGCCATCAATATATCAACAGAAATACTCTTAAAATTTTAGTGGAAAAAATTAAATGAGAAAATTTTGCACACAATTGGATAGAAAAAAAAAACTGTTGACTAATAAGAGGCTGATGTGAGACTTATGTAAAATCTACCTGGAACCGTCTGTAATTTTGAGCACAACCCCTACGTTTAATTAGAAACCATAAGGTAAACACATCTTCTGTTTCTTTTTAAAATGAAGAGAGAGTGGATATATCATTGCGATTAATAAATTGGCAATGCCCTATGAAGCGTTAAGAAGTGGATAATACAGGACCACTAACTCCCAACTCCAGGTTTGAATTCAAATGCTGGCAGGAAATTTGTTTTGATGCATACTGGATCGACTCCAGTACTAGAAGACCATCCTCCTGCTTACTAAGTCCATATAACATGGAATAACTGATCCAATTTCCCAACAATAAAAGGAAAGGTGATGTTTCCAAACAGACAATTTTCAGTATAGTTGTCCGAATTTCTTGTAGAACTTATTTCTGACAGTTACTGTGGGTCTTTTTTTTTATCTGCCTAATTCCAAAATACCAATCTTGAATTGTATACCGAAAAAGACTGATTTAGCAGTTTAAAAGATAATTTAATTTAACAATTCAAAATCATTCATGTCAAATGTTTTACTAAATCATTTTTATAACTTATAAGAACCAGTAAAAAGCAGTATTTTTATAAGGATATTGCTCTATCATTAAATGTGGTTGTTAATTTTAAAATATATTTATTTTTATGAGGAAGAAATTCAATAACGATTCCTCTCAGCAAATCTTATATATTTCTCCCTTCAAAAACATTTAAAAAGCAGGAAAGGACTTATAAAATAATCATTTGGTCAGTGCTTACTTATTGAGAAGAATATTGGACTACTAAAGCCCAGTAGCAAGTCGTCAGATTTGAATGAAAAGTG